CGCTCCAGGGCCAAGCGGATGCCGGCATGACGGCCAAAGCGCCTGTAGACGTGGCGCAGGTAGCGAGCCCACTGCAGGGCCCTGCGCACCGTCGCGGGGTCCCAGCTGCGAACATGGGCGGTGCGGGAGACAGCCAGCACCTCTGAGAACCGCTCCAGCTGCTGCGAGAGCGACTCCATGGCGGCACGCGAGAGCCCGACTTCCGTTTTCACCCTGGCGACGGCGACTCCCTGCGAGCTGATTGGCTTGTCTGTGGAAATGATACGCCTCCCTACAATACTATTGGGCGAAGTTGCTGTCAATCTGACAACTCCACTTTAATCCGGGTACTTAGAAGCGTTTAAACTGGAGAAACGGCGAGGTAGTGTTACTTTGTCCTTTGAACTCTTAGGGGAGGGAGAGTAAGTGCAGGGCATCATAGCGAGAATTCCAAGAGCCACGTGAGAGATGCTCATTTAATGAAAATGTTATTAAATGAAATTTTTAGATCCATTCACCCTAGTAAAAAGGTACTGACTCCCACTAATTAATGCCAGGCACTATGCAAAAGTCTGGACCGTGACATTGTTCTTTCATTATTAAAACTGAAGCCCCGGTTAATGGAAACGAAAAGTAAAATAAGATATTTTGAGAACGAGACCACAGTCACATAACTTCTATTGTAGTCTATTGTTATAATTGTTCTGTCTTATAATTAGTTATTGTTGTTAATCTCTTACTGTGCCTAATGTAAAAATTACACTTTTTTTATAGGTATGTGTGTATAGGAAAAAACATATATAGGAATCATACTGTTTGTGTTTGCAGCATCCACTGGGGGGTCTTGGACTTCCCATTCAGGTAAGGGGGCGGGGACATGAATGTAGTATAGTGTGTGCTATGAATACCAGTATCAACCTCCCACTTCTTGATTATGATTTCTAAATTCCTGGGTTACAATAAATTAGGAGAGAGAATGCAAGAGCAAATTCCAGGAGATTTTGTTAAAATCTGACATCAATCAAACCATGGGAATTAAGCATCATGAATAACTAAGGATTAGATAAAGGTGCTTTCACAAAGTGTCAACCTCATCCGGTTCTGGTGAAGATTAAATGAGATAATAAATGTAAAATGCCATTCTTGATATCATGGTTTTCTTTTAATATTCATTCTTCCATCACCTCACCCTCTTTGCATAATAACGATGCAATTCTGGATACTGATTCCAGCTCAGCTCAAGGGAGGAAGGCCTGATAATTTTGAGTTAATCATTTTGAACTATCCCTCCTCTTAATTCAATAATTAATTTAGGAACACAGTCTTAAATCTATCTATGTATAGCATTTTTTCATAACAAAACTTTTCCAGAAGTGTCCAGGTGAATCAGTTCCAATCCATTAGGCCTTAGTAAGCAATCAGAGGAAGAGAGACTTTAGGGTTTTTATTTCTCTGTTTTCTGCTAAAGCATCGGTGTGCCAGCTTCTTCCTCAAAAATTCTAAGAGGCCTGCCTGAGCGTCTGAGAGCACATACTGCTCACTGCGGCCCTGGAGTATTCCTGCTGTTGCGAAGTCCTGGAAACCCTGGCATACCGTGTAGATTCCCTTAGTGCTGGCCCATCCCTATGAATACTGCTCTGTTAAATTTTCTAAATCTCTACTGACTGTGCCTGTTTCCCACCAAGATCTTGCTTGAAACAGTTCTCTCAGTTTTCAACCATTCTTATCCTATATAATAAAGAGCTAATATGCAAATTGACCATCACACCCTCACACAAGATGGCCACCACGAGATGGCTGGCAGGGGAGGGCAGTTAGGGGTGACCAGGCCTGCAGGGGAGCGGTTAGGCATCGATCAGGCTGGCAGGGGAATAGTTAGGGGCAATCAGGCAGGCAGGAAGGTGAGTGGTTGGGAGCCAGCAGTTCCGGATTGTGAGAGGGATGTCCCAAATTGGAGAGGATGCAGGCTGGGCTGAGGGACACCTCCCCCCACCCCC